GGAGATATCAAGTTTCTACTATAACACAAGACGAAATTTATAGTGACCATTAATTAGTGACGTGACATTTTTCTCTGACTGGTGGTTGTCCACCGTAGAATGATTTCGGTCCAAATCTAGGCCTACTTCCGTAACTGATTTGTTGCTAACTGACGCTTCAGATGTCTGGTCTGAATTGGTATTTAGGTCGTTGAACGACCTGGTAGGGTCAGGTTCAATCTAGGCCTCTTTCTCCCTTCTTGACTGTTGTTATTGACCAACGCTACAATAATTGACGAGTATTAGTGCAATGATAATATTTGTTTCAATATTCCTATTACACTCTTCAGGGCCATTTCCATGATTTTCAAAATTATAGCATTTCGTACTGTTTACCACTTCTCTTGGTTTGATCGCATTATATATACTGTCCACAAACGTCGGTTTTCTCTAGATCACAATATCAGAGGCGTACTTAACGTAAATACCCTATTAATACACTTAAGTGACATTCTAAGTTCTGGTTAAAAGCGACTTATTTTATATGATAAGTGTCGTTTATTTGTTGTATTGAAATTCGCACAAATTTACTCGAGGGCTATCCGACTTAGCCGACCCTAAATTAAAAGTGATAGGCTAGAGAGAAGGCATCTAGTCAACACCATCCACTACCAACTCTTGAGATTACATTTTACTAAAGAAGAGTGGGATTTACCGTAAAATTATAACGTTTCCACGGCTGAAAGTGTGTGTTCTGTGACTGGATTTGAACCCAAGGCCCGCAGACTGAGAGTCGAGCGCTCTAACCACCTAGCCATGTCAGGCCAATGAGCACTGTAATTCTCTTAAAACTTAATTTATGGGTGAAGGGTTGGTCAAACTAAGCATAGCCAAGTCTGTCAGTCCAAAGTTTCACGGGTCACGTTCAGTTCCCGCAAAAAACGCGACAAACACATTGGAGATGGGGTCCACTATAAAAGCAACAGTCAAATTCCACTATTCGAACAGACAAAAATAGCCAACAGTCGACGGTGGGTGTTTTTGACTAGCTGTCTATCCATTCAAAGTTAGGGTCGGCTATACACAGATAGCCCTTGTTCCCGTGTGTGTGAAACATCTCTTAATAAAAAAAAAAAACACGAAGGGTTCTTCGTTTTTAAAAAAGAAAGGAAGGTAAACTATTCAGAAACAACACTTGAACAAAAGTATGTACTCAGCCTAGCTGAAAGTTTGAATAGCACCTTTATATCACATTCATGGCACTTTTTTTATGATGCACGTAATGCTGACGTCACGGTTGAATTGCTGACGTGTCTGATTTTAAAAGAATTTAAAAGTCAGTCTATTTCGAATAACAACTAATTAACCCGTCACACAACCACGAGATAATATCTCACAAATTAAAACAAAAATACTTAAATATTTGTTTGTTGTTAAGCAAAAAAAAAGGTACACAATGGGCTATCTGTACTTTGCCCACCACGGGTGGTTATTATTTTATTCTCAATACAAATACAACAACAAGTTTACAAGATTTGTTTTAAGAACCAGCAAATTTTCTAATTCTGGACAATAAAGACGCAGAAATCAAGATTAAAAAAAAAAAAAGATAACACACTGATTAAAGTTTTTTTTGTTTTGTCTCAGATAAAAGATCAACTATCCAAGACTAATAACGGTTGGTGACGGCTTGAATGGGTACTGAAGAAAAACGTTAATATAAATTTAACATAACAGCAAATGTACAACCTGATGATGACAAAACCTTGTCGAAACGTTGTACATTTGCTGTTATGTTAAACTTATTTTAAAGTTTTTCTTCATTACCCACTCAAGCCGTCTCCAACCATTATTAGTCTCAAAGTGGGTTCCTCGTCATCAAAGGCTATTTTGTTCTTTGTTATGTTAGCTCTTTATTAACGTTGGTCTACTGTCAGTGTCCGAGTGCAAAGGAAAGTACTTAAAAACTTGGTTTCTAGCATTATTATTGAATAAATAAGTCAGACATGGCAAAATACAAGAACGAGAATATCCACAATCTAAAAACATTTTAGGCATTTCAAATCAATATTTTACAGTGGTTTTTAATATTATAATAAGTATGGTATTCATTGTAGTGATATTTCACGAAAAGATGCTACTTTACGAATGGCAAAACAGAAACAACACATTTATACATGAAGTTTCTATTTACACACAAAACTTTGAAGTCTTAAATCTATATATTTCGTTACACAAGCTACAAAAATGAACGTTTAAAATTTCATCACAATGATAATTATCTAAGCTTTTTTGTAATTTTTATAGATAACTATTTAAATAACAATCATGTAATGTTACTCATGATTAAATAACTGACTTTTGGAAGGATTACACATTTTATTTTGGAGCATTACACTGAAGTTCAACTACAGGATACAAAAAAAAAACCTTTCAGAAATATAATCCTATTTTCGGAAGACTTCTTTTTTTTTAATCTCGGGATCTAACCCAAAGTCAAAAGACAAAAATAAATAGTCTAAGTCGTAATTACCTGTTAATGTTTTAGTTTTAACATAAGTTAAACTTTGTTTTCTTATAGTTAAACTGAATAAAACTTGACTTTGCTATGTTAGTTGTCTTTGGAAAAATTTTTTTATAAAATGTGCAAGTTATTAACTGCTGTTAGGATGTGTAAAACATGAGAAACACAAAATACAAATAAAACCACGGTTTATAAACACATAAGAAAAAAACTCCTAAAACAATTAACATAACTATATAAATAATTATTTAACATATTACCGTTTGAACCCAGTAAACCCGGACAGTACACATAATAAACTCTACTCTAAACCTGATTACAAGCGTTAAACAACCTAACATGAATTAACACCCATTATCACGTAAACATTCAACAAAACATTTTGTCTACAAAATAATTTCAAATCCAGGAAGCAAAAAATAAAAAAAAATCTTCCTTATGTATGCCACTGCTTGTTATTTTTGTAGATACTGGACCCAGATTTTTAGTGAAGACCCACCCACCCACCACTACAGCACTAGTATTTATGGGGGTGTAGACATGATAGTTTTTAATAAAATATTAACAAGTTTATTAACTGTGTCATTAGAATATTTTTTATTTACAAGTGTTACTAATTCTTATCATTCTCAAATTATAGTTTTAGGATGGCACGTGAATAAGTTTCCTCGAAACATTGTATTTGTTTGTTTCAGATATTTGTGAAAAGCTACTCAAAGGCTATCGAAGCCAGCCATCTCTGATTACGCTACGGGTGAAGCAGCCTAGCCACTGTCACCTCCTGAGCTACTCTTGTCTGACCAAACAGTGGGATTTGACTGTACCCTTATAATGCATCTAAAGCCCTAAAGTGCAGAGAGTCCATAGTATAGCATGATAACCACAAGGCCATGTTTGGCCCAGAAGCTTTGTAATGATGTAAACAATGATAAAAATCAGAAAAAAAAGATAGGTGACAATTATAATTTTAGCAACAAAACTGATATAACACTGTAAATAATATTTCATAAACACATAATATTGTTAAGATTAACTATAACTAACCTATCATTTTGTGTATATATATATATTTTTACATAAATAATTACTAAACTCTTACAAGATCTACAACTTAATGTATACATGTTACACCAAATGTAAATAAAGACAGCCGAATATATGTAATGTTATATTAAGTATATAACATACAGCCAAGAAGGAAAAATAACTTCCATGTTTTATTTACCAATTCTACTCCCATCTGGACGTTGGAACTTGGTAAAAACAAATCTTCCACTCAGTACCAGTAATTTGTAGAATTAATACACATATGTCATCCACGACATATATTTCCATGTGATAAACACGGCTACGATACTTGCACAGATGGTTTTAGAAGTTTATCTCAGCCATTTGTTATATACACGTGATTAAAAGTATAACACCATATGTTCACCATCTTTCTGTTGTGGTCAGATTACATAAAACGTTGCACTTATTGTAAACGCCGTATCATACTAAAGTACGCACGCTTTCTGAAGTCACAGAAATTAATAGTCATTGATAGACAATTCAGTAAAGACAGATGTTTTTGTGTGTCGTAACTCTTACTTCTGACCTAACTGTTATTTATTCTAAATATTATCTTACAAACTGAGGCATAAAGAAGACAAATTACAAGAATTACTAGAGTAGGACCACAGTTTGGTGAAAATAACATGTTGTGGATTAGCAAATCAAAAATGTAATGTAATGAAAAACACAACTATTCAGTATGTGGAACACAAAGGTAGTGGATAAGTTTGATATAAAACACAGTGTACTAACAAAAATAACCAAAAATGTTTAGTTTGAGAAAAATGTGTTTTAAAATCAGGAGAGTCCACATGTAGGTATAGTAAATGTGTGTGTGTGTGTGAGACTAGTTTGTGTTCAGTCTCTTAAAAGTTTTCATCAAAGTTACTCCAAATACTTGTTTGTGAATGACTACTAGATTTTTGATACTTGACTTAAAGAGGAGTCATTCTCCATAGTTTTTGGAGTTACTTCTAGTTACAGATAGTCACACAGTGGATATTATTTGTTTGTATTCAATTATTAAATAAACCAACAAATTAACTTTATATGGCCTTAAATAAGAATTTTTTTAAACCGAACTAATTCACTTAGGAATAAATTAAGCATACAACACTTCAATAACTGCACATTGCATAAAATACATCCAAATACATCCACTACCATTTAAAGTGTGTATTTTACACATTAATTTACAACTTTTAGAATAATTACAGTATTGTGAACAGGATATTAGAGATTGGACAGCTGAAACAAAAGCTGATATTAGCCAAAGAGCATTGAAATTAACACGTAGTCAGGAAGCGTTATAATGATGTAAGCCCCGATAAAAAGTAGAAGGAGCGGGTTTTAGTTGGATCACAGTTTCGTATATATGTTGTGGATTAGCAAATCAAAAAGTACGGTAATGTAATATATAATAAATATTGATGTCCTGAAAACAACCTACTCTGGAAGAGTGTCACAACTCTGCTGTGGAAGAAGAAGACGTGTGCTAGAATTGCTACCGAAACTGTCTCCACTGCTTCTGTTGCTTGCATTACTTGCCGGAGTTCCAGGAAGAGACCAGTTGGTTTCTTGTTGGAGCAATAACGGGTGGCGTGTTGGGGAGGAAAGAACGTGCAAGTTTCCCGTGGTAGTCTCAGTTCGATCTTCCTCGTCGCTTTCGGGATTCTTCTTTTCTTCGCATTCAACCTCTTTCAATGGATCTTCTTTAATAGTGTGAACTCTTTCATCACTGGAATTCCTGGTTACAGGTACATGTGCAGTATGTCGAGCACCTGCATCTGTCTCTGTTTTCGTACTTGAAAGCATAACAGACAATGGCAAATCTTCTGTCTGATTCATATCTAAGCTTGTATCAGTTCCTTGGTCAACAAAAATAGTAGTTGTAGGGTCCTCGGGGGTATAGTAGTCAGAGTCATCACCACTAGGGGAAACATCTGTAAATATATAAATATATGTGAAGACTACAATAAACCTTACAATAGACGAGCTAAACAAGTTCTTTATACTGATTTTAATAAAATACTTTTAAATTATTTTGAATACAAAAACTTGAAGATGAATTAAAAGCTCTTTAACTCTGAAACAATGGTATATTTTAAATCTAGATGTTGAAAAATTATTTACGCCATCTTCCTCTTTATCATGCCGAGTCTAAACTCTCCAAAAATACTTATCTTGAAAAATTTTTAAAACAAACGAAACAGTCTTATTTAACGTTTTTCTAATAATTCCCTTTGCGGAAGTAAAATCCCCTTCTTCAGACCCACTCAACAGAATAAAGGAAATTTTGTTAGTTATAAAATTCCTTGATTATGAGAAAATAAGCAGAAGTTCACGGTTAAAGAACTTTGACCTCATAACTAATTTCCACTTCAAATTGTATTTTTTTTTCCTTTTGTGCAGGACGAGTTCCTTCAACCATAGGGATGAGAATAATTTAAATTTCAAAAACCTGGCAAAATAAATTAAAACTATCGACAAATAGAAAAACAGTAAGCTGCTTAAGTATTATTAGTCTTTCATCTGTATTTTTGTTTCTATGGTGAAATATGTTATTTAAACCTTTTGCCATAAACTTTAAGTGCTGACATGAATAGTCGACATCAAAAGCAGAGTGGCTCATTTCATTTTAAATCATTTAACTTTGTGATTTTTATATATCTTTACCATGCCACTATCACCTTTAGGTGAGATATGACTGAAATTTTAAAACCTTTCAAAATATTATTCTATTTTTTACAGAAACTACCATCAACTGGTAACAAGGGAAAAACATTATGTATTCCACTTTCAAATGTTTTTTTCAACATTTAAGCTAACATACACTTTCTACTGACTTAAAAAAAACTTTTATAATAGATGTAATAACATGGAGATAATTTAAATTATAATATTTAAAAAAAGAAGAAAGACATCAAGTCACATTACTTAACCTGTTCCTGCAGGAATGTTTTCAACTTTATCACACAAATGAAGAGAGTGAGGCGTGGACATGGAAAGAGGACTTATTCGACAGTCTGACTGAGAAGGTTTAGCACCAGATACTACAGCTCCACCCACTGCACTAACGTTTCTACTTAACGCCCCTCCATCTAACAAAGACCTCGTTTCACTTCCTTCCAGCTCCCCCTGTAAAGTTCAATGTCGTATTAAAACACTTGTCATTACAAACAGTGTCTGGTTATAGCTTAATTCTGAGAAACATAAATGACTGTTTCTTAGGTGTGAAGAGTAAAATAGTGATCAGATATCACATTTTCTCTGGGTGATAGCTACTAATTTTACACCTTCCATAATTTCCATTCAGTTTCTGCACATAGGTATTTTAATTATACCTTTGTCTCAACCACATGTTACAAAATTGTGTATCAATCCTTTCATGCAAGTCAAGTTTTACATACTGCAACTTAAGTCTCAAGATGGCATGTAGGGAGGTAGCCCATTCAAACAGTTGAGATACAGAAACTTTACATGCTGGCTTGGAATTATTGAAAACTAGTGTAAATACCTGCATTCGCTCGGATATTAGATTTATATATTCTAGAATCTAGATGACTATGTCAGTGTGTGTATTCTGAACCCATTTTAGCATAAAAGTATAACCTATATACTTTTCTTGCTAAGCAACATGACGTAAAAGTCATTGTTGGAATGCATTGTTACGAAAACCTACTGGCTTTTCTATATATTAGAAGTTGTTATATGAGGAACCACTTCTTTTCTATGCGGTTCTTCGCTAGCTTGCCTCATTAAAAAGATGTGCACACGCATGCGTGTGGATAAGAAATTATACTCAGGTGCACACCCTCAAGGTCCACTTAGTATGGGTGAAAATTTCTGGTTTCTAGGTTCTTCCCTTTTGGAGCTATGGCAGTCACACACGTGCATGCACGTCTGTCTGTGATTTATCTTTGTAATATAAGGAACCACTTCTTTTTTTTATGTGGTTTTTTGCTACTTTGCCTCATTAAAAAGATGCCCACGCACGTGGATAAGTAATACCCAGGGGTACACCTTCAGCATTCACTTAATATATCCGGATGCAAAATTTGATAAGATTAAGTAATATCCAGGTGTACACCCTCAGGGTCCACTTAGTATGGGTGCAAAATTTGAAAAGATTAAGTAATACCCAGCTGCACTGCCTCAGGGTCTACTTAGTATGGGTGCAAAATTTCAGGCTTCTAGGTTCTTTCCTCTTGAAGCTATGATGGTCACACACACAGACACGCATGTGCACATGTCTGTCTGTCTGTCTGTATGTGATTTCTATTTGCAATATAAGGAACCACTTCTATGTGGTTTTTTGCTAGCTTGCCTCATTAAAAAGATGCTCACTTGCATGCACGTGTATAAGTAATAATACCCAGGTGCACACCCTAACAATCCACTTCGTATTTGGGCAAAATTTCAGGTTTCTAGGTTCTTTCCTCTCGGAGTTATGGCAATCACACACATAGACACGCCCTTTTACTATTATAGATTGTGTGAGATACCACACTAAGGTTGGCAATAAAAATGGATATTCCATGATTTTGTCTTTTGTTTTTTTGGTCTCTTGCTCCTGTTCCTGCCATTCTTCCCAATTTCCAGTAAGTAGTTTTATAGTATTGGAAGTAGAGACAATTTGGTAACATAACACTGGGATGACTATAAAGAAACCTATGTTTCTAAATTTACTTTTTTTCCTTTGCTGTCCATGTTCAATTTATTCTTTGCTTAACAGTCCCAAGTCTGCAAAATGTGAATAATTTTAACTATGTGGCAGATATTGACGTACATGAATACCAGATATTGACGTACCTGAATACCACCGTTTAAGGTGATGTCAGTCTACAAAAATTTCTCCAAACTGCCTTACACTTTTACATTTACTAACAGTACAACTGTATTAAGCTATATCTACAAAAGATATTATAAGCATAAGTTTCTCAACTATCTATGGCATTCTTTCACACTTTTACAACTATATGTGCAGAATAACCTTCATATTAAAATAAATTACCTGAATATTCATGCTTCTTATTACAAGCAAAACTTTGTGGTAACAACATTATAAACACAGGTTTCCTTAGCTTTTGTAAAAATTTATATATTTAATACGATCTGGTTATCAATCTGCATTTTATCACAGTAACTTAGAATCACAGTGTTATAACAACCTTTGACAAAGACTGGTAACTATGAGTAATAGATTTGAGGTTTATGCAGCCTGTATATATGAAGTATAAGCCACTGAAGTTCAAAAAATCATAAGGTACAAAAATAACATCAACTTAAAAATGTTACACCTGTAGAACTACCTGTTCATATATTGATAGCTTTACGTATAATTCAAAATAACTTCCTTTTCGTGGAAAAAATAAACATTCACTAAAATAATAGATGCCACAAAACTCTGTCATCCTGGCTAAACCTTACATTCACTTAGAACATAAATTAAAACTTCAATAAAGAAATGAACTCTGTTTATGTGACATAAAATATCCACAAAATAAAATAATTAAAATGATTACACTAGTCATTTTTCTCTTTCCTCCTCCTATTTCATTCACAATCTGTACAGATTCTGTGAGAAGTCGAATTTTTTCGGGTCCTGATGATCTGGGCACTTTCTTGTGGCGTCGTGCCTCTCCACGACTTAGGGGTAGGGTATCAGATTTGAGATGGAGCTTGTCGGAAGGTGATGACGTTGTAGTGATAACCACTTCAGGAGTGGTAGGTCTGTCTAGTTGAGGGGGCTCACTTCCTGAATCTTCTTTGTCGGAGCCAGAACTCAGCCCTGGGACTCTCAGAGAAGTAGCACTACAAGACTGTAACCTAAACATAATAAATAGGGTTACATCTTTCCTTATATGTTTCTTTAAGACTATGCTAATACAAGGCTAACAATATGGTTAATAGTATATATTTTACTTCTAATCAACAAATATTCCAAGATCCTAAACCCTTTTTATCAAATGCATATGAATTTTCCACTTTTTCATCATACCGAATTAATTCAAATCTCTAAATTTTCTGAAATTTAAACAGTAGAAAAAAATAAAAATACTTCTATAACTACAAATATTATTTTTTCTAACTCTCTGTGTTGATTTTTTTTAATAAACCGATCGTGTTTAAACAAATTTATCTTCCACAAAAACTCTGTGTAATTATAATTAAACCCAGACAGGAAATTACATGAATACCACTTAAAAACCCAACCACATGTATAATATCTCCAACTTCCAGTCTTTAAAACAAGGCCACACCAATAACATCTACATCCTGAAATACTATATTATCATTTATTTTTGTTTTACAGATCAGTTTTGAAAGTTACTTATGCACGTATACGGTTTCATTATATCAAGTATACAACAGGCATTAGCCAGTGTATCATTATGTGAAATAAATATGACATGTCAAAATTATATTTCTGATTGAAAGAGTTAATCTAGAGAACAACGTTTCTGTACTCGATGCAGAAGTAGTTATTTCATAACTAATATTTCTGTTAGAGAATTCCTTTAACACACAATATAAATTTTTACATGTTTTATAAAGTAGCTGACAATGCCTCTCCTACAGTCTATTCCAATCATGACTATCAATAACTTCTGAACAAAGCAAGCAACCTGTACAATTCAGAAATAAAAATTATCCCAGAGCTAACTTTAATACACTGTTCTTACTAAGAGCAAACAAAGTCATAAAACAAAAACTTGTAAGATTTAAAATCCATTGTTTGTTTGTTTGAATTTCATGCAAAGCTACACGAGGGCTATCTGCACTAGCCGTCCCTAATTTAGCAGTGTAAGACTAGAGGGAAGGCAGCTAGTCATCACCACCCACCGCCAACTCTTGGGCTACTCTTTTACCAACGAATAGTGGGATTGACCGTCATATTATAATGCCCCTACGGCTGAAAGGGCGAGCTTGTTTGGTGTGACGGGGATTCGAACCCGCTAGAATCCATTGATTCATTAGCAGAGTACCCTTGATTTTGACGAAATGTTTGGCCATAATCCCAATATCTCACGAGGTCGGCAAACTTAGAAGATTCAGGATAATTCTAAATTAAAATACTGAGCTAACAGTGTAAATCTTTAATAGTAACAGCAATCTTTAATAAAATTATATCAATAGAAATAAATACATTACATATAAAATATGTTAATCAATATTGTTAATGAAACTAACATTAGAGAAAGAGTATAGACAATCAAACAAACAAACATATAAAACTAGTGGTTGTACTATCATCAATTCCTTATCCCTTAAAAAGCAATACACCAGTATAAGGAAAACCTTGTGTAATTAAAATATAATCCTCCTTAGCAATGTTTAGTGGCTAATGAAAGACAATAAAACAGAGTAACTTTAAAGTAGAATCACATATGTGACAAATTCCTAGAACACGTGATAGTTACTGTTTAGCTATAGTCAAATAGCAGGATGTAGTAAAAATTAATTAAACAACATCATGCAATAAATGGTAAAAATATTCATACTATACATTCTGTAAGCTAGTTACTGCTAGTTACTGTTTAGCTATAGTCAAATAGCAGGATGTAGTAAAAATTAATTAAACAAATAACAACATCATGCAATAAATGGTAAAAAAAGTTAACTATAACAAATAGAGAAACTATACATTCTGTAAGCTGTGTCTAACACAACTAGTGTGACTTTAACTTACTAGTTTTTTAAACACGTGCTAGTTACTGTTTAGCTATAGTCAAATAGCAGGATGTAGTAAAAATTAATTAAACAAATAACAACATCATGCAATAAATGGTAAAAAAAGTTAACTATAACAAATAGAGAAACTATACATTCTGTAAGCTGTGTCTAACACAACTAGTGTGACTTTAACTAACTAGTTTTTTAAACAAAAAGTTATGATATGGTCCCAACGAACTAATGATTTACAATCACAAATACATAAACAAACAACAAAGGAAGTACAAAGTTTACAGCAAAATAGTAAAAAGAAAAACTTTTTAAGCCGTAAACAAAAACAAACGTTATCATCAATTAGTTTTACCTGTCTAAACTTCTAGACTTTGTTGAACCATCAGGGCTGTGAGTGTTCAATGGAAAAGGTGGATGAACTATAGTTGAAATTCAAAATTATTATCAAAATATTGTAGCATAGGGAAATACAAAAACAATATATCATAAAATACAACTGATAATGACAAGAATTATCTCTGTATGTGAAATGCTTTATCAACAAAAACAGATACGACTCGTGTATGACTTAAATTAGCACTTCACCATGAAAGTTCTGTTCAATCAATTCTCGAAGAAGTGTGTGTGACGACATTTGACTTGTATGAATAACAACCGTTTCTATATTATAAGGCAACAAGCAGTGATGTACAAGTTATGAATGAGCTTATACATTACATTTTGAAAACATCTGATTTCTAGCTTGAGATAAATGTAATAATACAGATTCTCCCGTTAGTAAGGTTGTATATTACTTACTGACTGATGGTGGATGTGGAGCTGAAGACTGGTAAGGGCCGTTCAGAGCTTCGAGCAAAGACACTGGTTCATAACCAACAGGAACATCCTGCGTTGTCTACGTGAAGAAAACCCCTACTCAATTTAATGATGTTTCAGAAGAGATTACTTTCTAAATAATTTAGTTCTTAAGCTATGTGGACTAAAGTCCACCCATCTTTAATGTTATGAATGTGGCTGGAAAATTGTAGGCTTAAATTTGGTTTCCAAGTTCGACGCGTGATCTCTTCAAGAATGTACAACAACACGTCCACCACCCAACATATAAATGGACAAAATAAAATTTTTAAAAAATCTCAAGATAGCATTGGATAATTTCTACAGCAGTTATGAATCACTTACTTTATGTAAATGTTATGCAGCATCATTAATTGGTTGTGTTATGTAGTTTTCTATCATTAATTGGTAATTCTATATCATTATCTACAGCAGTCATTAATTGGTTGTATTATGTAATTTTCTATCATTAACTGGTGGTTCTATAACGTTATCAACAGCAGTCATTAATTGGTTGTGTTATGTAGTTTTCTATCATTAACTGGTGGTTCTATATCATTATCTACAGCAGTCATTAATTGGTTGTGTTATGTAGTTTTCTATCATTAATTGGTAATTCTATATCATTATCGACAGCAGTCATTAATTGGTTGTGTTATGTAGTTTTCTATCATTAACTGGTGGTTCTATATCATTATCTACAGCAGTCATTAATTGGTTGTGTTATGTAGTTTTCTATCATTAACTGGTGGTTCTATATCATTATCTACAGCAGTCATTAATTGGTTGTATTATGTAGTTTTCTATCATTAACTGGTGGTTCTATATCGTTATCAACAGCAGTCATTAATTGGTTATGTAGTTTTCAACCATTAATTGGTGGTTCTATATCATTATCTACAGCAGTCTTTAATTGGTTGTGTTATGTAGTTTTCTATCATTAATTGTTGGTTCTATATCATTATCGACAGCAGTCATTAATTGGTTGTGTTTAAAATACAAAATAACATGAATTTCCCATTAATCATAGGACTCCCATACTGGTCATAAGCTAGAACTCAAATACAGACTAAAGTACAAGTAGTAAAATATGTATTAACATATTTCAAAAGGAAATGTACATATTGGTGGTTTCTTTATTCACAATTTCAAATTATATTGTCATGAAATTATTAAAACCCGAAAAACAAAAAACCATCTAGTATCATACCTGATTATCTCCTCCTCCTCCCAACTGGGATATTCCTGACACTGCTTTTCTGACAGCTCGTATCTGAAGTAAAGCACGAAATGGAGATCGACAGATAGGGCAGTTGTTGGCTTGGTAACGCAGGGAATCGGCACAACTGTTACATAAACATAGGTGACGGCAAGGAAGGATGAGTGTGTCACGAGAATCACTCATACAAATAACACATTCTGATCCATTATCCTCTATCTCGTCCTCATTAGCTTCCTGAGAATCAGATAAAGATAAGCTCCACATATGGCAGTTTTAATTACTGTAACCATTAAACAATGATTTATTTAAATTAATAGCATAGTTTAATTATCTTAACTATCAATATACTCAATGACTATAGCAACTTTTGACACTATTTTATTGTCTTTATTAGAATAGTCAACAGTTTATCAGTCATTTTCACTACTGTCATCTCATTTGTTGACTCGCATTCAAAATTTTATTGAACTATTATTTCATGAATTTATGTCAATAACTTTGGTATCAAATTGTAGATTATAATTCATATTTTAGTACTATATATTACTTAATTTCTAAATTTAAAAGCAAATATTAAAAAACACAGATAAACATCGATTTGTGTGTGTCACGTGGTATATTGAATGCAGCACTGGTTCAAATTAGATGTTTGTGAAGTCGAAATACTAAGTCTGTAGTTTCATACGAAACAGAAACTCAAATTACCGATATTGACAAGCTAGAATATAAAATAAGAGCCTCTTATCTTTTTCAATTTCCTAAGATATTGTTCATGTAATATATCAAACACACTGACACCCCACCCACCTCTTTCCATTTTTGAAATGCTCCCTTATAAATACTTACTTCTATATATATGACAGGAATAACCAATTGGAAGCTCAGAATGTCCCCCTAGTGGCTCTCTCAGCCATTTTAATGGTCTTGGCACCATTTCTTTCTTTTGAACCAATACTTTAACGAGGTAGGGTGTCTTTAGTCTGCTCGAAATTTCATATTTGTTTAGACTAAAATACATCTTAGTTACTATGTATTTTTAATCTTAAAATGAATATTACTTTGCATGATAGATAGGCAACATGCGAAAAAAAAAAGGCATGAGAAAAACATTGCTTTA